TTATTTAATATTTTCCTTATTAATTTCATTAAAACCACAAAAAAAAAAAAAAAATGTTTTTTTTGTAAAAATTTATTTAAATTATAAGAATTGACCTATTTACCCCCTTATAGACTCTTTTCTTCCCTTTTTCGTACATACTTTCCAGCAAATTGAACAAAATCACATACACTGCTTCGCTTGTTAAGAATATCTAAAATAAAATGTAAAATGTGATAATTGATAAAATGTTAACAATTATTCAACAGTTAAGTTTATTGATGATCTAGATTATCTTTTAATTATTGAAAAGCGATTCAATTACGTATAATCGGCAAGGGAGTAAGTTTCAATAAACATACACGATACTGTTAAAATAACTAGAACTATTTTTCTACATTTATGATGATCTCAATTATCTTTTTCTATTGACATTTTGTAAGCCTTTTTAGAAATCACATTCCATCCAAATGGTTGACTTTGTCAAAATGCAGCAGTGTTGTAGGAGGAATCTTGTGGCCTACACTAGGAATCTCTAACCTGGATCGTGTCGATTGCATTTAAATAATAGAGAATGTTATAAGTACTTACTCGATGTGTGATGTAGTACAGCTGCTGGCCAGCAAAGTCCCAGATATAAGTCATATCTTTATTATCAATGGTCTGTGAGGTCTTTCCAGTAATTCTATCAACAACTCTTTCCTGAATTTCAGATGGAAGTGCTTGGCTTGATACTGATTAAATAAATTCAAATATTAGCAAAGTTCGGTAACAATATAATGAGGATAATACTTTGAAAATAATGATCACATAAACATGTGATCATGTGAAGGCAACAGTATTTAAAATAATAGTCAGACAATTATAAGTTTATCCATGTCGATCACAATTATCAACATTTCAACAAGAGACCCTAACATTAGAATGATACTGATTAAATAAGACTATCAAAGGTTGGTAACAAGATGATTTTATATAAAGTATACTATAAGGATAACACTTTGGAAGTAATAATATAACTATGATGGCAACACTGTTCAAAGTAATAGACAATTTTCTTTGAATAATCTTAGAGATTATATTTTTAAATTAATAAAGTTAATCTATGGTTATATTACTTTAAAATGTTGCAACAATAGCAACTATGGCTTGTTATCTTTATGGTTACAGATATGATAAAAATATGAATAAAATATTTAACTATGTATATTTCTTTGAATATTGATTAAATAATAACAACCTTCTTTGTGTTCTGCTTCTATTGGTCCTGACATCACATCACACTGTATACAAATATAAATAAATCAATTAATACCAATTTATGTAATACAAAAAACTAACTTTAGAAAGGATTGACATTTCAGCTCCATCATGGACACATTCTCAGAGATCAAGTGAACTAAAACATAAAACAACCAAAGTATAGGTAACAAGGAGATTACAAACATTTACCTGATTAACTCCTACATTTACATAAAACTAGAGCAAGTTAGCTTAATCATGAAATGATTAAATGATAATAAAATAATTTACAATTTATATGTTCAATAGACAATTAGTATATTTATTTAATCAATAAATTTTACTTCATTACCAAGTTAAGGTGTGCTCAGTGAGACATATCCAAACAGGAATTTGAATAGAATTGTGGAAAATGAGTCTGGTTTCTGTTTACTCAATGTTTTTGACACTTTTTCATACCCTAAATATTTTGATACTGTTCTATTTTTTAAGGATATCCTATCATAATTGTGTGTGCCACTGTTGCAAGTGTTCATATGGAATAAATTTTACTTTGATTGATGATGTGCCTAACTTCCTTTTTAATTGAACCAAGATAGTGATTGTTGTGATAGTGCTCTGCATAATGAGTCATGGTTCTTTAATTATTCTGTCCACAGAAGTTTTATTACAAATGAATGCTGCAAATGAACAACTGGATGAAAACATTTTATACTGATAGTTATTGTTGGACAACAGCAGCTACAACTTTCAGTACTCAAAAATAAATAGTGAAAATACACAATAATGGAAAATACACGCTAAAAGTTGTCAAACAGCGTCAACCAGATTGATTTATTTGTGACCTAATTACATTTTTTCAATTAGCGTTGTTGTCAACTTGCTTATATCTGAATTAAGTAGTCTCTATTTGATGTCCAGTAGTGAGTTAATAACTGATATCTTGCTTAATTTGAATGGTTCAAATTCAAATTTAGCACAAGATTCAACTTGTTCACCAACTTGCTCAAAGTTGTATGTGAATGGCACTACTGTTCAAGTTCAAGTTCAAAAGTACATTCATTCATAGTGGTCAACATACAGATACATAAATTATACATACTGTAAGTAAACAGAACTGAAATAAAATAAATAATAGTGACCATCAATGGGGTCAAGATTAGAAGTGAAACTTGTCTCACCATGACCCTAATGTTAAAAAAAAAAAAAAAAAACAAAAACAAAACAAAAACAAATAAATATAAATAAATAAATTAACTGTGATAATATTAATCATCATTGAACTGATTGGTTAATGCTACTGAGTAATTAGAAGCTCACATTAGAATTGGAATATTTTGTTTTGTTAAGTGATGGCTTCAAATTTTTTATAAAACATATCCATATATTTAATGTGTATGAAGGAAATATTTAAATTGATTCTGGGTAGTATTTCCTACAACTCAAACTTAGAACACAGCAATATGAAAGAAAGGACTACTATTTTTTTGTTTAATCATTTTGGAAGCTTCATTTGGAATATGTTTATATAGTCTCAAGATATAAAATATGATACAGGTCATGTAATATGATATTCATTCGGCACGTTTGCCAAGAATTGACAATAGCTAAAGTAATCACTTTCATATTTAATATGTAATAATCATTTACATAAAACTAATACATAAACCAAGTATCATTATGAAGATTAAGGAGTGGAGTTGTTGTATAAAGTATATTAAAAAATAGTACCACCACTCTTCCAATTTTTAACAGGATACTTTCTACATAATTTTGATAAGTTTACAGTAAGTATATTTGGATGTACCTTTGGTTTTTTTGTTTTCAGTTTTTCTATTCTTCTGTTGTTAGTTTGTATTTTCGTAAGCTGTTCTTGTTTAGGTGATCTCCTTATTCCTAGGCCCTGCTTAGAATTGTTTAAACTGTGTTTCAGCTTCAATGCCCCCTCGCTTTTTAACTCACTCCCTTTAAAAAGCTGAAATTTTACAAGCATCTCATCCTTTAAATGTAACCTCAAAAGCTATCTCTCTCTTTCCGTGGTTTAGTAATATTTTTTCCCTCTGTCTCCACCCACCCACCACACCCCTCTCTCTTTTTTTAATCAGGCTGGCCCTAAACTTATATATATTTTTTAAAAATTTGTATAAATTTTAACTTCGTTATTTTCTTTATTTTGCCATTATTATTCTGCTTTTAATTTTAAATTTTATTTACATAATATGTATATATATATGTAATATGTATATTGTGATTTCTTTTCTTTTGTTACTTGGTTTTTAATATTATTCTATCATTTTAATTTCTTTGTTAACCATTTATATTTCCTTTGTTACTTGTGTTATGTATTGAGGCTCCCTAATGTTTAGCTCCAGCTGGATGGACCACCCTCGTAAAATATTGTTGAAATAAAATCAAATAAAAACAAATTAGTTGCATATTTTATAGTTAAGTTTGTTTCATGATGTGTGAAAAACACATACAGCCTGATGTTGTCTTACCTCTAGTGTGATAGATGATTTTCTTTTTCTCCTTTTTTTGCTGAATGGAGAGAACACACGCCTAATTAATTTCTGGGTTCTCGTTCTTTTAGGCATGTGTGCTGGTGCTGGTGCTGGTAGAGGTGCTGGTTGAGGTGCTGGTAGACGTGCTGGTTGAGGTGCTGGTTCTGGTGCTGGTTGAGGTGCCGGTTCTGCTGCTGGTAGAGGTGAAGGTTCTGGTTGAGGTGCTGGTTGAGGTGCTGGTTCTGGTGCTGGTTGAGGTGCCGGTTTTGCTGCTGGTAGAGGTGAAGGTTCTGGTTGAGGTGCTGGTTCTAGTGCTGGTTGAGGTGCTGATTCTGGTGCTGGTTGAAGTGCCGGTTCTGCTGCTGGTAGAGGTGAACGTTCTGGTTGAGGTGCTGGTTCTAGTGCTGGTTGAGGTGTTGATTCAACTCCCTCTGTTTGATTACCTTTCAGTTTTAATTTCTCAGCAACTCTACCTTCTAATTCATTATCATATATCAGCTTAATCCGTTCACACTCTATAAAGATTTAAAATAACAGTGAAATTCATCAAAGCTCAAGTCATAACAAATAACAAAAGGATTTAAAGTTATATTGTTTCTTGTCTTACCGTCCATGTCCTCAGTTTCTTTCCACTTACAACCAACACCAGTAGTTTGGAAAGCAGTAGTCAAAACAATTCCATCGGTTGATGGTTCTGCTTCATTAAATCTGTGGAAATAACAGTCTAACACAATTTAGCATTACAAATTGTGTATGTGGGTCGAGTCGAGTGGCCAAGCGGTAAGGCAGGGTCGCTGCTATCTACAGCTTTAACATCGGCGCTGGTTCCAGTCGCTCCTCGTTTATGGTTCGGTTGGTAGAACCAAGTCTTCTTGGATAAGGACTTAAAAGGGAGGTCCAGTGTATACATCTGGCTCGTGTGCACTTTAAAGAACCCATTGCCTCTTTTGGAGGAGTAGGGGGTTACCCTGATGTTATGGTTCATTTCAGCCCCTGTCGTTGTGGAATGATGTGAACATTTATCTACCAAGAAGCGCCTCTTCACGGCTGCTAGGTAGTCACGGACCACGCCCATTTACAATTCAGCACAATGACGCTGCAAGTTATGGGTTATTCTCCTACCTTTACCTTTACCTTTATGTTAAAGTGGATATTGTAGTATAAGTGCAATGGTGGATTTTGAGGAGGGCATTGCAAGTATCTTCGTATGAATTATAGATTTCATATAAATTTGCAATTGATTGATTTATTGATGATTGGGCTGTGGCTTACATGAAGGAGTAGAGGTATGACTAATGAAAATTTGTACATTTTGAAACAATAATTGTTTTCATCCAGGTCCAGAGAATAACCCACTTCTGTGGCCATCATAATGTATTGTAATATATATAAAAAGAACATAAAAAAAAATTAACATTTAAGAGTACTAAAAAAGAAGAGTAATATGGCAACATTTATACCAAAATACATTGACAGATACTTCAGAAACTTACGGTTTTTCAAGCAAAGTGTTTACCAAACACGTTTTTCCAACGCCCTCCTTTCCAGTCACCATTAATCGTGCATGGTTTACTGTGATTTTCCCATCTTCCAACTCCTCATTAAAAACCTTCAGAGCTGCTTCTCCTCTAGCCATAATTACTTCTGGGACTGCAGTCCCTAATTTACATAGGCAAGAAGATAATGTTGCTCATCAATTATTAACAAAATATAGAGAAATTTTCAAATATGTTGGTTAAGTACAAATAAAATTCTTTAAAAAAAAATTTAAAATAATAAAGAAAACACAATCATATGGAAAATGCTTCGTTATTATAAAATTTCAAATAGTTGTTTATAACTAAAATTGAAAAAAATATAATTAGATATTGTGAAATAATTTGAAAACATGACTTGCTTACTAATATTATCATAAAATAATATCATCCCCATCATCACTGTCATCATCACCATAACCACAGCCACCATCATCATCATCATCATCATCATCATCATCAATATTTTATAAAATTAATATTACAACATTTGGAAGAAAGCAAATAATGGTATTATTATAATTTTCCAGTGCAACAAAACTTTGGTGATATAAAATAACAAAGCAGGTACATGGGATTGATGATGACCCACAAGGAGTAAACATCTGTGATGTACAATGAGCTTGACTGCAAGACATTATTTACAGCAGATAATATAATGAATTATTATCCAATTAATATAAGCAGGAAATAAAATTACATTGACCTACAGGTAATAAACAATAACATGAATAATTAAATTGTATTAACTGCTCACCTTGCAGAAGTTGCAAGACTTCTTCCTTGTGTTTTTCTCTATTTGTAGAATCATAC